AGAAATGCATTTGAGAGTCAGAGGGTTTTCTGGCTCAAGTCGCGACCGCGCAGCACACGTCGCGAGCGCGCTTGTGTGATTCGCGAGCGCGAGATGCGCACACTGAGAGTCAGAGAGCTTCTGGCCAAAGTTGCGACCGTGCATGTGATCCTCGCGAGCGCGAGTTGTGCAATTGAGAGTCAGAGAGCTACCTGACTCAAGTCGCGAGCGCGCAATAGGAAATCGCGAAAGCTAACACATAGAGGAAAAAATAATTTCCAAGTATGCGCGAGCGCTTCACATTTCGCGACGTGATCTTCCACAATTGTGCCAGTCCGTGTTCTTTTTTCCCGGCATAACCTCAATATACAACTTCAAATTGGAACTGATTAAAAGCCCATGTAAAGACTTACCAAGAAAGGAACAATTATTACTCTTCTTATGACAAATTCCTAATTCCAATATCATTAATATGTTGGGTTCAAAATTCAAGATGAAGTTGCTGGTAACATTTCCAGCAAACTCTGTTTCTTGTTTCATAATTTATTTCATGCCCTGTTTTTACAATCAAATTTCCAGTACTGGGTCCACCAACAAACAAGCAGTAATAATCATATTACATTCATTGGAAACTTACAACCTATATCAATTTACATGCAAGTCAAAAATAGTAAGACAACATGAGATAATCAAACCTGGGTCTTGCACACCGTTGAAGACTGGGAGCTACTGTTTTAGCTTTCTTTTTCTGCAACTTTGGAACTTTTCTTCTCCTATACACAAGAATTTCTCAATTTTATATACTCATCTACCATTTATAACTCCAATTAAAGAGTGGATAACATATAGCTTCAAGGAATTCTACTTACTTGGAAGTGGACTTAACTTCGCGTAAAAATTGCATGAAAAGGTGCAAGGAATGGGACAGAGGAACTTTAAAAAAGAAAATGGAAAAACGTGAAAAATTAGGAAAGTGAAAAGTGATAGGATACGGGTAGAATTCTCTAGATTAGAATGTGAAATTTGGGGCATGTTGGTAAACCTCTCTAATGTGGTACCTCATTAGTATACGAAGATCCACTACTATAATACCCCACACTTCCTGTAATGTTTTT